CAGCAGATCTTTAGGAACTGGCTGTTGAAGGAATGGTTGGTGCTGTGGAGTTTTTAATGTTATCATCTGTATTTTTTATAGTTTTTAATAGGGTTTTTTTCTTCTATTTGTGTTCAATTACTGTTAAATGAATATCTAGCCTATGTTTTTAGCTTTTTATCTTTAAGCCACTTGAGTCCAAGTCTAGGAAGAAGGTGGGATAGAAATAAACGTAATAACAATAATTCCTATGACTCGGTGGAAGCTTGGCAGTACAGTTGAGTAAGCTTTGCAGAGAGTTTCATGACCGCATACAATATTGTCTGAATCTAGTTGGGCTTTGGAAACACATGAAACTTAACTACTCATATTGTTAGTTTGTAACCATGGTGTGCTCTGGATAAGGAGAAATCCCCTTGGGCCTGAGCAGATAAAGCTTGACCAGTGAGGAAATTGGACAGAGGCCCTGGGCCTGGGACCTTCTCCCGTGTGTGTGAGGCAGACACAGACATTTCTTGGGCAGCATCTGTATGGGTCACAGTATAAGATCCAGGAGTTCGGTTGGGCATCTTTTTAAAGCTGAACATGATTGCGCTGAATGTTGTCCAGCATGGGTTGCTAGCTCCCTGATGCACACCAAGGAGTGTTCTGTCTCACAAAAAGTCGCTGCTGTTCTCTCAGTAGCCTGCCAGTCTCACCGCACGGTTGAGTGGGAGCTCCCCAATGTGTCAGCCTTTACACCTGTAACAAGATCAGGTTGTGAGAACTTTGCCTTGCTCTGCACTCACTCTGGATAGTGAGACATTAATTCCTCTGAAACTTCTTTTTAAACCTGCTTCTTTTTCCACTTTTATTCCAGTAATTCTTCGCCCATTAATAGAGTTGTACAGATTACGGGCAGTTCCATGCCGAGGGGAAGTGGCTCAGGATTTAAACCGTTTAAGAGTGGACCACCACGAAGATTCTAAGCCCGCTGACCTGCTTGCCCCCACCCCTTGGTTTCAAGATAACTTATTGGAAATCTTTTATGAACGAAGAAGCCTTGGCTAAGAGAACTTGTCTTTTTTAATTTTACCATAATTACTTTTTCCTCTTTTTTGGAGGCATTTTAAATAAGTTAGGCTGTTTGGATTTTGGATAGTTCATTGTACTTTTTGGATGAGCATTTCCCCCTGTAACACTAGGAGCTCTGAAATTAATTGGAACCAAACATGTGAACCGCTGTACAAAGAGATGATTTGTTTTGCACCCAGTAGTTTAATTTACAATTTAGCTCTGTGATGTCAGGCTTGAAAATTAGGTACTTACCACAAAACACACAGATAACCCAATTGTACATTAGAATGGGTAGAGAATAAGGGTTGGGTTGGTTGTTTGATTTCTGGGTATTATGTAACCTATTTTTGGAGAGTTGTTAAACTGAGTGGATCTGTATCCTGGCCACTGTATCCTTTTGAAATAAAGCTTCATAATCTGTATTGCCACTTGTACAGTCTGGTTTGTTTGTTTGGGAAGCCGAAATCGGCTGGTCCTACGCAGTAAATCATTCTAGGAGTAGCTCTTTTCTCTGTTCCTGTCACTGAGGTAAGATCACAGTAAAAACAGACACATTAAATTAAGCAATGTTGTAATGACACCTGAAAACTTTGTGTGAAAAGTGCAGAATAAGAGTCTTCCTCTTACTTGGCCCCTGCCCCATTTCCCTTGCAGCAGCCCCACTCATGGCCTGCAGTAATGGAAATGGCCAGACTCAGATGACATTGCTAAAAACATTAAGACTCCATTTGCAGCAGAGCATAGTGGCCTTAAGATTTGGCTGTGTTCTGCTCTTGGCCTTCAGCAGCCAAGCTGGGGAAGTGGCTGTTCACATATGTCCTCTTGAAATCTGCCTCATTCTTAAGGTACATCCCATTTTATCTGAAAGATTTACTTGGGTGATATACAGAAAAGTACCCATAGTCTACATTTTTCAGTATTCAGTGCTGCAATGTCCATTGTCAAGGAAAGCTGGATTCTCTACCCTGTGTAAATTACGCATATTGGCACTTTTGTCCAATTTTACATTTGTTTTTACTCTTTTGCATAAAAGCACAATGATTCTGGAGGAAGGGAACAAGGAACGCAACAAAGCACCATTGCTAAATTCTGGTCTAGAGTGTTCAGGCATTTATTTAATTTTAACATTTTATATACTGCCCATAACAAGAGCTCTTTGGGCAGCTTAGAATTTAAAAAAAGTACAATCAAAGCATAAAAATAGAAATACAGCATCAAATTTAAGTTATATAGTATAACAGCAAAGGCATTGTTCAAACATTTGAACAAATTTTAACCATGAACACTAGAAACTTGAGCTTAAAGTTAAATGAAAACTGGAATGTGAACTATCTAATCAGTATCCTGTTCTCTCATTTGTCTGTACTTCTTTGATACCATGGCATGTACAGCCTTACCCTGATTGCCATTTTTCCAGAAATTAAAAAATATATATCACGTGTTTCCATTGGGTGACATTCAAGCAGGCTAGCAACAATAAAACAACTTAAGCAACAGCAAAATAGTGCTAACAGAGTCAATACAAACAGCAATTTAATTACACCATCTCGCATTCCTTTAAAGTGCTGGGTTCTTGCTGTTTGTGTGTTTAAAACTAGTCAGGTGAACACCTGTAGGCGCTATTGTAAAAACCAGAACCTGTCTTGTGTTCCACTTCTTCTGCAGCCATCTGGATTTTATATAGGAAATGATGTAGGTGGGCCACTTTGTGTGGAAGGAGATGGTTTTTAAAGAGCTCCTACTTGCAAATGTTTAGGGCCTAATTATGCTACGGAAAAAGCAATCCACCAGTTTTCATTCAGGCCCAAGTTCTTGCATACCAGTACGCTGCTTGTAAACAGTGTAAAATACCTATGTAACATCCGGGGGGGGGGGGAATCTTCTATACACTTGGCCATTTTCATTCCTAAATGCCACTCGGGTAGACCTCTTAGACAGCTGCAAAAAAAAGTGTCCTGTGATATAAACGTCAGCCCACATCAGAGGCATGTCAGGTTTGTGTCCATTTATTCTTAAAAATTATTCCATGAATCAAGTGTGTTCCAACTTTAAAATAACCCCACATTTGGCATGTTTAGCTGTGGCCTCTGCCCTGTACAAAAACCAGCAAACACTGTGTTAACCATATCTTCAGTTGCACAATAAAGGGGCTATCAAACTTAAGGCTAGTAAGATAGCTGTTCAAATGCTTACATATTTAAAATAAACTTCATCAACTCCAGCAGCTTTCCCATAGTGGCAAGCTCACAGGAAGGCAGTGGCCCTTTCCAGTAGCTGAAACTTTGCCTCTGCCCCTGAACCTTTGTTGTTTCAACATGAAAGGTGGACTGTAACTATGATAAAATGTCCTTTATGAATTGGTTTGGATGCATTTTTAAACCCTTCTAAGATGACAGACATTACCACACACATCTTGTGGCAGCAAACACCATAAATCAGCCTTCCCCAATAATTATAGACACCATCTCCTACATTCTGATGGGAATTGTTGTCTGAAAGGAGAGCACCAGGTTGGTGGTGTCTGTAATTACATTATTGAGGCATTAAGGAAGGTTAAATTTCCTGCAAAGTGATCCCAGTTTCAACAGAATATATATGTATACACACACATCCCTACTGCTTTCTGTACCTCATCCATAATTTTATAAACCTGTTATGAGCCTTATTTACTTTTTCTCAAACATGAGTTTTGGTAAAGGTAAAGGACCCTTGGACAGTTAAGTCCAGTCAAAGGCGGCTATGGGGTGTGGCACTCATCTCGCCTTCAGGCCGAGGGAGCTGGCGTTTGTCCAAAGACAGCTTTCCAGGTCATTTGACCAGCAGGACTAAACCGCTTCTGGTGCAACGGAACACCATGACGGAATCCCGAGTGCACGGAAACACCATTTACCTTCCCGACGCAGCAGTACCTATTTATCTTGCTTGTACTGGCGTGCTTTTGAAGTGCTAGGTTGGCAGGAGCTGGGACAGAGCAACGGGAGCTCACTCCATCGCAGGGATTCAAACCGCCAACCTTCCAATTGGCAAACCCAAGAGGCTCAGTGGTTTAGACCACAGCACCACCTAGTTATTTTAGAAACAACAACACACCATCTAGTGATGGAAAACACAGTGGTTCTTCAGTTGTTGGAGTCTCTCATCCACAGGAATCACTGCTAGTGGCCTGGGATTAGTAAAGAGGCATAGCTTGCTCATCTCTTCTCTAATAATTTTGGCTGGTATCTATGCCTACTTCAGCTTTCTGTCTTTTGGCATGTCTTTTCAGTGGAATGTGTATCAAGGAAAAGCCTACTGATAACTGAATATGAACACAGCATTCAGCATCCTGCAAATTACAGCTTTGCCTTTTCAGAAAAATATTAAGGCTCTTGCCAGACTTTGGGCCAGCAAGGGAAACTGCTTTCAAGGAATGTTTCTACATGCTGTAGATGCAGATTTTCAGCTGGAGATCTATCCCTCTGCTCTGTAATACATGTGGCTATAATTGGGAAATTAATCCTGAAGGCAGCCCTGTATCGTGAACTTTTTGATGTTTGACTTTCCCCCCTTTTTTTGCTGGAAGCCTTGTAGAGTGGCTGGGGAAACCCAGCCAGATGGGTGGGGTATAAATAATAATATCCTGCACCTGCTGGCAGCTACCTAAAACGAGAGCTGGATTGCATGGTGGGCAAGGTCTTGTTTATGGCTGCAAATTGCCTGTAAGGGAAGCTTGATTGCTTTTGAAGCTACAGCACCCACCCCTTGAAGCTACCTTTTAGATCATAGGATTGACATTGTTCCACAGGTGTCTCTGACCTTGTTTGTGTAGGTTCTCTTTGGTTTTTAATAGTTCCATTGAGGAGGATGTAGGCTGAAGCAATAAAACACACAATTAGCAGGATGCTACAGTACAAGTTCAGCAAGGGCAAACCAGACTGTCCCCCTATGGGTTTTGTTCTTTGCTTAAATACTCCATGAGTCATTTCAGCAGTTGAATCAATTTTTATTACATGAGGAAGTCACTTTTAAGACTATTAAAAATTATAAATATATATATTTAAAAATTAGAAAGAAAACAGTGAGAATGCCAACAGTTGTCAGCTCAATACATCAAAGTAGGTTGACAAGATCCAACAGAAAACAGCTAGCTGCTGATCACAGTGTAAATCCATGCAAAGTATCTGATCAACTAGAAGCCAGCCTGTGGCTGAGATATGTGGGTTGGAATCTAAAGATGGACAGAGGCCAGGAAGTGCTGCTGTATTTGCTGCCTGAAGGTTGCACATACGTGTATTTACGGAGTAAGACAGATACCGCCCCCCGCAACACACTAACTGAGCAAGCCATATGGGAAACCAGCTTTCAGTGGTTCTACCCCACGCAGTGGGAGCTTGTGTTTCTGAATACTGCCATTGCAGGCAGAGGTGAACTTGTGTGCTATTTCCCAGCCAGTAATAAAGAGAAAAATCCATACGATTGGCCCCAGCCACAATGGTTGCACAACATTCACTCCCGCTCTACAGCCATAAGCCAAAAACAAAAAGAAACAGCTGCAGTGAAAGAGAACTAAGACATTCTAATTGTTAAAGGATGCCATTTAGGACAACTGTCATGATTTTTTTTCAAAAGCAACGTCTTACACATAAGTGCCTTTTACAAAATTATAAAAGTATTTGGCAGTGCTTTAAGTGGTGACATTATTGATGAATCTCTGCATTTATAACATCAATTACATAGCCACAGCAAAAAAGAAAAGATCCTACACTCCTGCTCTACATTATTAAGCTTTGATAAGGCAAAAGCCTGTGTTCATTAAGGGCCTTAAGTCTTTCCACACCCTTCACTCTCTACATAAATCAAGTCTTCTGGAAGTGATGTGATGTTTTGTTTTTAAGAGGCAGCAGAAGGGAAATACATGACAAGCATGTGTTTTTGTGTTAAACTTGATTTTGCTTGCAAGTTAAAAGCCTAGGCTAAGTCTCTGCAGGAATGATCAGGAACCCCATCAATGGCAGCAACCTTATGGAGAGGTATGCAGCCTTGAGCACCAACAACACAGCATGGCCCCTATTCCTATGCCCCCACCAGCTACTCACAAATGCAAGCAAATAGACCTGGGGCTAAAAATTGGGTTGTTATGGCTAGAAGACATAGATACTCCATCTTTCCTCTCCGCAGCTTCTAAGAGGCTACTATGAGGCTCTCCGAACACCACCACCAACCACACAAGTCTGCCAAAAACCTAAATGGTAAGATCATGCTGTTAGGGCAAATCCGCATCTTGAAAAGGTTCTGCATGCTGCACCAAAGTATGAGATTGTCAACATAAGGCCAGGCATGACCTCAGAGCTAGCCCTCCTAGAAACTACCTCTTGCCTAATGGGAGGAAGTCATAGCTCATTGCACACAGCAGGCCCTCCATCTGCTGGAGCTTTCTGACTCCACAACACCAGCCACACCATAGAAATCTAACTTCCTTGATATTCGGATAAAAGCAAGAGAGTCATACCCTACTGTAAATGAAGAGGGAACAATGAATAGGAGCATCAGGCATTTCTCTCACTATGACTGACTATTGCAATTGCCAATGTAAAAACAGACTGGAAATGGAACAAACGTACACTTAATGTAAACACCTTCGCATTTTTTCTGCAAAAAGAAAAGCCTTGATACAGCTTTGTGCTAACGTATGTGTTAAAATCTCATCCATAATGTAAGATGGCACTATTGTCTAACAGAGGGTTAGGGTAATGTGCATATGTGAAATAAGATACTCTGAAGTAGTACAAGAAGAGATACTCTTTAAAATGTTATGCAATACAAGGGTAAATTCAGTTCTGAATAAAGCCATTCTGTTTGTTCGCAAATTTGCCAGAAATGTTTACCTTTCAGACCAATGGTTGAAGGCCAATATTTTAGACTTAATTTAAAGGGGACAAATACACGCACCCTGTCAAGCAGTAGGCATCTCTCATGGAAATGACTTTGGCTAGAACTAACTTCAGGGCACGGCCTCCCCCTCATCTGAGACTTAAGGTATTTTGGTGCTGCTGCAAAATGGAAGTTAGAAACAGGGTATCTTATTATTAGACTGGACTCTCTGCTCCTAAAGGAACTTCAGGGGGGAAAGCATCCAACCCTCCCATTTCAATGGCACCTTGTTACCAACCACCTCAGTAGAAAGATTGCCACACTGAATGTTAGGCAGGGATGAGGTTTGTCTATAGATGCAATTATCCAGGCTTTGTGATTGTAGCAAGTAGCCTCTACGGACTGACATATAAAGTTATCAAAAGGATGAAGGCCAACGCCTTCCTGGTGAGGATGGCCTGGAATTTCCTCCCTCTGACAGTAACATTCAATACTATCAGTACTATGAGAAGTAGCATGTTCATTTGTATGCTGTCCTCTATAAAATGTGATTCCCCAAAGTTCTACTTTAAATGTTTACAGCCAAGTATCTTTTCCAAATATTCAATGCTCCTTCCCTCCATAACTGCCTTGTAAGTCCCACCAAAATCCAGGAGATTCGTTCGCATATGCAGTTAGGTCCACAGCCCCAGAGCGTAGTGGAACAATTTTCATACTCTGTGGAAGTGTGCTTTAGAGCTGCATGGACATGAAACAGATTATCTACCTACAGTACACTTGATAAGGCATATAATCACACACATCCTCATATTACTCATCCAAGGTACTTTGGGTGAGGGGGGGGGGGCGAGGCAAGTATCAAGCAATTTTAATTCCACAGATTACAGCACATCAGCTTTTCCTTCCAGTCACCTACTCCTGCATAGAGGAGATCAATAAATAATAGAACAGCTCTGGTCTCACTCATCTGTATTGAACAGAAAAGGGCCAAGTACAATGGTGAGCTTGACTCAAATATGGTACAAGCCTCCATTTCTCTTGCCATTTCTGAGTAATCTTAACCAATACTTTTCAGACCCAGGTCTCACCTAGGTTGAAGACAGCTCAGGGGACACCTACCCAAAAGCCAATAAAACAGGTGAGCTACAGGCTGCGAGATGCCCAGAAGCCTGAAAGATTGCTTTCACACCATAAATGGTCCTCTTGTGGCAACTGATGTACAGACCTCTGGCAGAAGCCCAATAGGAGAACCACTTAACTCCTTTCATCACAGAGACAAGCAGATTTACTAACAAATATTTTGAGTTAGTTATGTTCCAACAGGTCAAAACCTGTGGCAGTGTGGACTCCCCCTCCACAAAGGTGGTCATTTTCTCACAATGCATTGAAGGCAGAGGCAGCCTCATTCAAATCCCTCTGAAAGAGAGCGTGCATGACTTCAATGGTCTTGGGGGCACCATCCTCTGTGGGGCTATCAGGCACAGGCGGCATGTGGAGCTTGGAGTCCTTAGAATTCCTTGTTTGTGTTTCAAGGATATGTGCTTGGGTCCAGGTAGAGTCCCCCTCCTGTTATAGAATGGCACAGCTGTTCTTCTCTTTCTCTCGCTCTTTTTCTTTCTCCCGGGGTTCTTTTCTTTTCCGCTCACTACTCCCAGATTGTCTTCCAGTTGATGGAGACGCAGCTCCTTGCACTTGCTATCAATAGGAAAGGGGAGGGGGAAAGGCAGCTTATTTATCTGAAGTATTTTCATCCACTGCTCAGGCAAAGAAAGGCTCAGAACAGATCAGCCAGGCATCATTTATGCTTAGAAACACTCATTAAGGCCAATTAAGAGATACTGTCCACACTGGGCCAAGCACTGCTGAACATCAAATGGTGACCAGCCAGCCAAGTTCATCACTGGAGTGTAGTGTACTGTCCCCAACTACTCCCCACCACATTAGAAATTTTCACATTTCGTTTTCTGGAAGATGGAGGCCCACCACTCACTTCAGAATTCACTCCGTGTGAACTTGTTGCAAAGAAAGTGATTCTTGTGCCACCATAAAGACAAATAAAGATAGCCTAACAACTTTGTGTTCCATTCCTAGGAAAGGTGGCTTGTCAGCCTCAGGCAGGCCTTCATGAAGCAGATTATCTAGCTCCATTTCATGAAGTTGCCTTTACTCTTTTGTCTGTTGCCTCACATCTTTGTTCGCAGCACCATTGCCACACCTGTGAGCTATTTGCTGAGTTTCTGTGAGATAAATGGCTCTTAGCAGTTTGTATGCAGCTGGACAAGTGAGCTTTGCTGTTTTTGTTCTGTTTTGTAATTCCCAAATGTACTCCCAAACTGTATTTTCTAATTGTATTTTCAGAGTATGCAGGTTTGATTTTATGGTATTATTTTTAATTACCAGTACTTTAATAAATCTATCATTTCAACCCTGATGTAGTTTTTTTGGAAGCCTTATTACTGAATCCAGTTTTCATAGCTACTGAACAATTTTTGTAGACCAGAGGTACAAGAACAGACAGTCTGTTTTTTTGCTCTTGTCCCAGTGTATGTCATGCGATATCTGGTAATGCTATGGGAGTTTCCTGGTCCAGCCTAGTTGGACCAGTGTCATGGTAGCAGCTGCACTACCTTGCATGGTTGGTTTTTCAACTGTGGTTGCTTGGCACCTGCTAAATCAACAAGGGCTGGTTCCCGGGGTTTTAGGAGTTCAGTGCTTGACACCAACTATAAAAAATAGTACCTTAATCCCTCAAGATGGTACCAAACACCCCATGTTAAAGTCCATGTCATTGAAAGAAAATATGCCGATAGATGAAAAGGGAGGGGAAGCATTAGTTTACATTAGGTTACCTCAATAGATATGTGATCAGTGTCAGATAGCAGGCTAAATTAGGAATATATTGGTGTATAACATGCAGAAGACAGACCAATCCTCAGCCTCTAAGAAACAATTTCATCCATAAGTGAAATCTAAAAAATAAAAATTTCCCTTGCATTATTTACAGATTTTGCACTGTGTGTTCCGCATTTGTTCAGTAAGCATGTATGTTTTTCAGGGTGTGAAACCTACAGCTACCAAGTGAATTTTACATATTGTCAATTATTTTTGATGTAATTAAGAATTTATTTATTTTTATTGAAAACTACTCAGTGCCAGCAGCCAACATGGCTAATCATTTTACCAGGGTCACCCCTTCAGGTCTATGCAGGAATGCCAGGCTCCCCCCAACATTGTGGAAGCCCAGAACGTGCAATGTCACACCGTGGGAGGAGGCCTGTCACGCCCAACAGGGCTTGCTGTGGCTGCAATGTGCTCTGTCGGGCCCTCCCACCACTGCGATGGGCTCCAGTGGAGCTCACCACTGCAGTGGGAAGGCCCAACAGAGCCTGCTGCTGCCACGGCACATCCCATTGGGCCTTTCAGAGGGCGCAACAGGCCCCATTTACTCCCAAGGGAGAAAACAACCCCCGAGTGTCCACTGATTTGTGATGTGTGCATTTGCTGGAGAAAATTGCAAATGGGCCTTGGGGATACAGGCTCTAGCAACTCACTTTTATGCCAAACAATGGCAGGCAGACCTGGTCCCTGAAGTCCTCAGGAAGGCCTCTCAAAGCAGACCCTAATGTATGTTCTAAGGACTTCTGCCCCAGATGGAGCCATACCTCACATCAGCTGTCCAGCTACAGAATTCTTTGGATAAATTTATACCTCGCCTTTCAGCATTACACTTCCAGAACTGTTAACAGTTAAAGTCAGATCACTGGTCCAGTGAACTCAGTGTTGTCTACAACAACTGGCAGGGGCTCTCCGGGGTTTCAGACAGAAGTCTTTCCCAGCACTACTTTCCCAGCTCTGTCGCTGAGCTACAGCCCCAACCAACTCAACAGGAAAAGCTTCCATGCAAGCATGCAGAAGACATGACTACAAGGGCCACCAGGAGCCAAACTTCCGTACCTGAACCTGAGCAGCAGCGGTGGCAGCGGTGGCAGCAGCAGCTTGCTCCTGCTCCTGATAGTACTGAGAAGCCCGTCTGTCCTCCTCTTCCTGAAGTTTCTTGGCAAGTTCAAGGTCACTGATTCCTTCTGGTATCTGCTCCCAATTAATGTCTTGGCTTTGCTGCTCTTGTTGCAAGGATAATGCCATCAGATAATCCTATTATGTAAATCCATGGTGAACACTGCTTTAGTTGGCACAATACAATCAACCAGTGAGATTGTATCCACCATCCAAATTTTCAGCTTTCCTCCATACACAAAAGAAATATCACTTTCAGCAGCTGCATGAAAGCTGATGTGTGAAGCCTCCTTCCACAATGAACTGGGTAAAAAATTGCTGGGCACCATGCAGCCCTGACTTGGTTACAAGTTGTAACCGCTGGATCACTCAGCAGCTTTTAGTGTACAGAATCTAGCAGGCTTTTTGTCCATCCGCAACTCATGCTTCCAGATATCATGGACAAAAGGTATCCCTCAGATACCTCCTGCCTGCCCTCAAGATCTCAAGGACGGAGAATGTTATTTCAAATAATCCAGTGTCCTTATAGATGTCTTTAAAAGGGCATTAGACAAAGTCATGGATAGGGCTCTCAATGGCTAAATGTTACTGCATGCTTCTGGGTATCACCAAATGTTGGAAGACAGCAGTGCAGAGGGCTGTTGCCCTCCTCATGGGCTTCCCGGGGCATCAGGTTCACTGTTGTGGGGAACAGGATACTGGAAAAGGAAGGGCTTTCTGTCTGATTCAGCATGACTCTACTGAGGTTCTTAAGAAACATAATGTTATGCTACATGACTACATAATTGAAGCAGACATTGAGTTCTGCCTAGTTTATTCTGCTTTCAGAGAATCAAGAGGGAAAAGAAGGCTGACACAAGGCACGATTTACATACAGCGCTAGTGGGGAAATTGCATCCATCCCAAGTACTGAAAAGGCAAAGCAAATCTACCTGGTCTATCTGATCTTGCTGTCCTCTGTATACTGTTTCTGGATCAGATGGAGGTCGTAGATGGAATTCAGAATCACAGAAGTTTCCATCCCCATCTACATTGTGTAAGCTTTCCCAAACAACTTTGTCTTCTGTAAGGAAACCCTGATCTGTCACCAGGAGATAAAGCTGGCCCTAAACGAAAAGGAAATTCTTTTACACATGTGTTGTTGGAAACTAATTTGGATGGGGGAGGGAGCGCTGAATACTGCTAATACCATGTCCATTGTTTGAGATGAAGTTAGTGACCATCTCCTGAGTATTTTTAGCTTTAGGAGCCATACTTGTGGAGTCTGCAACCTTGCTGCACAGTTATGCAACTTTCCATAGTCAATCATCAGTTTATAGCTATCAGCTAAAATTTCACATCTGCGACTATTTCATGCATTATTATACTTCCTCCAGAAGCGCAGCTTGCCATAAGTTGTTGGATTCCAACTCCCATCAGCATGGCCAATGGCCAGGGATGATGGGAGTTGTATAGTCTAACAACTGGAGGGCTGCAGGTTCCCCACACTATAGTCTCTGAATGCACCCAGCAGAGATTCAAGGAGACATGGCACGATCTAATGGCATAACAGTGTGCAGATGTGGATATCAACTTAATTCATTGGCTGTACATTTTGATACACAGGATTCTAGTAAAAGAAGGCTGATCATCAAGTCACAGCTACAACCCTAGAGAGAAGAATTAAAACTGAACTACTTGAGCATACATGTATGTGGAGTTTGAAAATATGCCAAAGGAAACACATTTAGAAGCCAACACACATTCCTCAATAGGAAAAGATCGGGGATGCCAGCATAGTCAGTGACATGGGACAATGGGACTAGTAGTTAACATATTGAAGGCCACAGGTTCCATATCCCTGTTCTTGGGCAAAGCAGCCACATGACACTTTAGGGGCAAATGGACATCAACTAGGAGCAGGCCACAAACTCATGAGCTTCATTAGTTAACAAGCTCAGATAAAATACAGAAACTGTTCACAGCCATATACCTTATGTTTGGTCATGGTGCTAAAGTGGTTGTTTCTAAAGAACACACATAGTTCTCCTTCTTGAACAGTGGAAGTCAACTCACATAACCCATGGTAGGTCAACTGAGTAGCTGTGTTGTTTAGGAACTGTTCTGCTATGGAACCTGCGAAGAAAGGTGGGTTACTGAAATTTAAAAATACAATATTAAAATCAGTTTAAAACAATTACAGTCAAGAAAATAGGGTAGATCCACACACACACACACACACACACACACACACAGTCAAAGGCCTGTGTAAAAAGGTGCTTCTTCAGCATATGGCTAAAACTAGACAATGCCAGAGACACCTCTTATAAACTGCCACAGAAAAGACCCTCTCCCAGGCCACACACACACCCAAAAATTATGAAGGGTAGTGGAAATACCAAGAGGAACCCCCCTCTTTCCTCTCTTGGGTATTAAGGAGGCATATTTCAGATATTTGGGGCCTAAACCTGCTGTACTGTAGTACCCAGTTAAGCATGACATTTATCTGAAAATTGGAGAGTGTCAGCTTAGAACCGCATGGAGGACAAGACAATTTCAGTGTAAAACAGCTGAGTTAAGGATGGTTTGCTGATAAAATAAAAAGGAATTCCATTACTACAAAGCCTGCTAGACTCAAGAGGTTGATTGTGAAGCAGAGTTACAGGCTAGCTTCTAGGTTAAGTGGCCACTGGATTGCAGTCACAGACTATTCAATGCTAGTCCGACTCAGAGCACACCCATTTAAGTTACTGGACATTAATTGTTCATTAATCTCAGTGGGTCTACTCTGAGCAGGACTTAGTTGAATTCTACTCAATAGGTCTATGCTTAAAATCAGAGATTTCCCCCCAATACGCCTCATTCATGCATGTGACCAAGATGGCTTTATAACTGTGGAAGCTGCTAAACAACCGGGTGGGGCCATTGCCTTCATGCTCTGCTTGTGGGCCTCCCAGAGACATTCAGTTAGTTACTATGGGAAACAGGATGCTTGGTTGATGGGCCTTTAGTCTGCCCCAGCAGGGTCCTTAAGTTCTTATGGATTCTATTCATGTCAGCTACCAGTTGCTGAAGAATGACAGCATTGTCTTAATGCTTCTGACTGGTCCATGTTTGAAAAAAGGATGTTGGATTAGTTGGACATTTGATATGATCAAATAGTGTTTTTCTAACATTCTTAAGCAATTCACCCACCTTCATCAACTAGCTTAGTGTTGTCTGACTGCTTACAACAAATTATTTTCTCCACCAGCTGATTGTAGCTGCAGTTACCAACTGCTTTCACAATGTCAGCAGTCTGTGGGGGAGAGAAAAGGTACACCAAGCTTGACTGATATTTTGTGTCTATTATGAGAAAGACAAGTTAATGCTACCAATAGTTAAAAACACACTACTGTGATGGCACACACAGGTGGAATGATATAACGTTGTATTTTCCAGTACACAATGATGACTAAAACAATATGCAACTGCCCATCCACCAGTATCATTCTTTGCATGATTCTTTTTTAGGAAGGGAGCTGGGTGACTACTGGAAAGGTTTTTGCTGTGGTGGCACCCACACTCTGCAATTCCTCAAAGCCACATTTTGGACCTTCCATGCTATTTCTTAGTTACAAGAAGGCAGCTGTACTGATGCACTTTTAGTGGTGTTTAGGATCTGTAAAAAATTTAGTTACTATATTTATCTTTGTGTTTATCCGTTGTAGCTTTTAAATGTTCACTTAAGTTCTTATATGAACTTGTTTTACAGGCCATCCTCTGAGCTGGGGACAAATTCCATAAGCCACACCCATAGGATTAACACATCCCCTCTCCTTGCTTACCTGGGGATCTACTAGCCATCCATGGTATAATGGAATATCAAGAAGGTCAAACACTATGCATTCAGGTGTGTACTCAAACACTCGTACACCAGTGAACCTCACATTCACATCAAGACCTGTCTGAAGCTTATGCAAGATTGCCATTGCATCACTCATATTCTGCGAAAAAAAGGAAAACTTAACTGTTTGCATCAGTCAACACACAATACCAGTATTAATAACAGTATTTTAAAAGCAGATTACAGAAAAAATCTGAAGCTGTTGAGTTCTTAATGCTGTATGAAGACAGTAGAAAGTATAAAAAATTATCATTTACAGTAGGATGAGACTTGACCAATAATCAGATTATAACCTCATTTACCAATATGTTAAAACATTGCCAAAGGACATAAAGTGTCCAAATCTTATAACCATAGTTTCTGAGAGCAATAATATCCATGAGCTTTTAACAAATAAATAACATTTAACACATTTTACTGATTCATATTGAAATCTACCAAGGGTTAGCAAATGTCCATCATTAAAAAATTAACTGCTTCAGGTTTTTCAGGAGAATCAGGAAATTCTCGACTCACTGCAAATTTCTTATTGGTAATTTACTCCCTTCAAGTTTTTTATTACTTAAAAACTCTATGAAAGTAATGGAAAACAAACTTATTACAGAGAAAAATTAAGCAATCCTATCATTTGTTAACTAGACTTTAGCAGAAAGAAGAACTGTAGGTTAATTCACTAAAGAATTTCATCTCACAAACAAGATAAAGAGTTACAGATAGGTAGCCGTGTTGGTCTGCCATAGTCAAAACAAAAAAAATTCCTTCCAGTAGCACCTTAAAGACCAACTAAGTTAGTTCTTGGTATGAGCTTTCGTGTGCATGCACACTTCTGTGTATCTGAAGAAGTGTGCATGCACACGAAAGCTCATACCAAGAACTAACTTAGTTGGTCTTTAAGGTGCTACTGGAAGGAAGATAAAGAGTGTAGCTCATGTTGCTATATGTAATGTATAATTCTTTCTTTAATGTAGCAGTCTGTCTTCCATTGATTTACTCTTGCTTTTAATATGATTAAACAGATGCTTTAACTTTACAATATGAATGGGGAGGGGGAGAGAGATTAAGTGGTTTAATTCACTACTAGAAAATGCCACTTACTCTTAAGAAGAGCTTGTTATTTATTACCTGCTCATAGTTTAAGCGCTGAATTTCAGATATTTCTTTTGGTTTTGCATCAAGGATATAGTCCCCTATAAGAAAACAAAAGATTCTAATTTGAAAGCTGGAACTTTATAATCAAAAGCAATCTAATCTTGTTAAAGCTTTATTGGTTCTTTCACAGGAAAAAAACAACTATCAATTAGAGGAGATTAGTTGTGAGAGGCTGTAAAGATGCAAGCAAATACAGTGGTACCCCGCAAGACGAACGCCTCGCAAGACGGAAAACCCGCTAGACGAAAGGGTTTTCCGTTTTGGAGGCGCTTCGCAAAACGAATTTCCCTATGGGCTTGCTTCGCAAGACGAAAGCCCATAGGGAAATCTCCGGGACAGCGGGGAAGCGCAGCGTGTCTTCCCCACTGTCCTCGGACCTCCTCCCGCCGCCCGCCATCGGAACGAAGCTCCGATGCCGGGCGGGGGGGCGGGAACGCGTTCTCCCGCCGCCCGCCATCGGAACGAAGCTCCGATGCCGGGCGGGGGGCGGGGACACCTCCTCCCGCCGCCCGGCATCGGAACGAAGCTCCGATGGCGGGCGGCGGGGCGGGAACGCATTCTCCAGCCGCCCGCCATCGGAACGAAGCTCCGATGCCGGGCGGGGGGCGGGGACACCTTCTCCCGCCGCCCGCCATCGGAACGAAGCTCCGATGCCGGGCGGGGGGCGGGGACACCTTCTCCCGCCGCCCGCCATCGGAACGAAGCTCCGATGCCGGACGGGGGGGCGGGGACACCTTCTCCCGCCGCCCGCCATTGGAACGAAGCTCCGATGCCGGGCGGGGGGGCGGGAACGCGTTCTCCCGCCGCCCGCCATCGGAACGAAGCTCCGATGCCGGGCGGGGCGGGGACACCTTATCCCGCCGCCCGCCATCGGAACGAAGCTCCGATGCCGGGCGGGGGGGCGGGGACACCTTATCCCGCCGCCCGGCTTCGGATGGCTTTCCTGAAGACTTGGGGTGGGAGGAGGGTTTGCCTTCCCACTGCCAACATTCAGAATGCTGTTCTGAATGTTGGCGGTGGGGAGGAAAAACCCTCCTCCCACGCAAGCCCCGGGAACAGAGGACAAGCGCTGCGCGCCTTCCCCTCTGTTCCCGTACCTGTCCTGAAGGCTTGCGGTGGGGAGAAAAGCCCTTCTCCGCACCGCCAGCCTGGCAAGCGGTTTCCCTAGGAACGCATTAATTGATTTTCAATGCATTCCTATGGGAAACCGTGCTTCGCAAGACGAAAAGCTCGCAAGAAGAATAAACTTGCGGAACGAATTAATTTCGTCTTGCGAGGCACCACTGTACCCAAAATTAGAAAGCTGCTGCTTACTAGCATGAGTCAGCTTCCTTTCAGGTATGCCCTGAAAGACAAAGCTGGAATTTATGAGACAAATCAAGGAGTATATTTATATGCTGAATAATCTGTTGCAATAAAATTAGTTTTTCTAAAAACTTGTACTTTGACCTGCCAATTTCAACTTTTGATTCATTCTGGTAACTGGAATGTTGAGCCTTTTGTTATTAAATGGTGTGGTTAGATACAAGAAGAGTGTCCAATACTTGCCCTCCAAAGGTGTGCAAAAGTGATTATTTCGGCCTTGATCAGATCACACCTGGAGTACTGTGTCCAGTTCTGGGCAACACAATTTAAGAAGGATATTGACAAGCTGGAATGTGTGCAGAGGAGAGTGGCCAATACGATAAAGGGTCTGGAAACCAAACCTTCTGAGGACTGCTGCAGGGAGCTGGGTAAGAGGAGACTGAGAGGAGTGAATATAGCCACCTTCAAATATCTTAAAGGCTGCCAGAACCAATGGCTTCAAGTTACAAGAAAAGAGATTCAAGTTAAACATCAGGAATACCTTTCTGACAAGTAGAGCTGTTTTGACAGTGGAATGGACTCCCTCAGAAGGTGGCAGACTCTTGTTCAGCGGAGACTTTTTAAGCAAAGCTTGGGTGGCCATCTGTCATGGATGCTCTAATTCAGGCATCCCCAACCTTCGGCCCTCCAGATGTTCTGGCCTACAACTCCCATGATCCCTAGCTAACAGGGCCAGTGGTCAGGGATGATGGGAATTGTAGTCCAAAACATCTGGAGGGCCGAAGGTTGGTGGTGCCTGCTCTAGTTGATATTCCTGCTTGGGGGGGGGGGATTGGACTAGATGATCCTCAGTGTACCTTCCAACTCTACAGTTCTATGGTTCTATGATTAACTCAAGAGAGAGAGAAATGAAGTGGAAAAACATTAAGATTTAAGCTAACCTTCATTAGCCTGGAGCCCTCTAGATGTTTTGCACTATAACTCCCATCAGCCCCACCCAACCTCAACATGGCTCTGCTGGCTGCAGCTGATGAGAGTTGCCCTCCAGATGTTTGGGACTGCACCAGGTTGGTGAAGCCTGGATTAAGCTTTGGCAAGAGAGTCATTCTCCCTGAATCATGCTTGCCTGAGCTTTACATTCCCCACTCAACTTTGAGTGGCTTCTTCTTGTTTATATCAGCTTTAACATCTATTTTAACACTTCAAACTGTTATATTCTTCAGTAACATAAAATATTTTAAATTGTGCATTCAAGATTTTGCTTCCAGCGTTTTATCACCAATTAGCAACCACAAAAACAAATACTACCTAAAGAGCAACCAATAGATTACTTCTTCTGTAACAAGTGTGGAGAGCTGCCAAAACATCTGGCCCATGGTGCATTCCCTTCCCGCTTTTAGTCTCTCCTCCTCAGACCCCCCCAAAGCCCACTGTGCTGCCTTGCAGGGCAGCAAAGAAGACACCTCTCTTCCTCCTCCAGTACAGAAATACAGTGAGCTACTTGAAAGAAGTGACTGATCTTCCCCTTTTCTGGCAGCTCACTTCTTCCACTTCTTTTCCTCCACATTCACCACATAAGCCAGGAGAGAATGGGTGGCCCCACTTTCTTTTGGCTCTGGCCAGCCCATGGCTAGCATGCAGCCCAAAAGGAATTCCCACTCCCATCCCATTAAAGGGAGCAGAAAACGTTCCCTGACCCTTGCTATAATGTTCCTACAGTATATATCAATCAGTGCATCCTATATTACTGAGTAGCATCCCTCAATTTTTAGCTGTTAAATTATTCCCTGGAGAGAAAACCAAACAAGTCTATAGTATTCTGAAGTATTTAAGGGCAGAATGAGTCATGGCCCCTGCAAATCCATTCTATGAAATTAAAGTGGAGCCGCTGAACTCCCTCTGCAGAATGAACCAATACATTTCAGGACTGCTGGACTGTGAATGCTGCTTCATAGCCTACTCAGTTCCATTTTAACTAAAGAAAAATCTGATTTCCCATAGAAATCATTCCAATTGTAGCAAGTGTTGGGGGTATTTTCCTTTTCAAATTTAAAGAGACAAAATGCAAGAACAGAAATAACATTTGCAGTCTTACATCACCCAAACTAACCAAATCAGTGAGAAGGGTAGGGTACAAATCCCCAGGCCCTTGTTTCCCAACCATGTGTCAAGATCCAAAGTGAAGGGCCAGTGGGAGGAGAGAGAAAGAATAGTCCTTAGTAGGCAAAGGTGAGCTAGTTAGGGCCCCAATAATTAGAAGCTATGTATAGCTTCTAAAGTAGTCCCTCAGTGTCCAAGGATCCTCTCACTCTAGCACAGCCAGGCTTCTCCAACCCACAAGCTGACTACACCCATGATATTTTAAAGTTAACAACAGGCTCAAGGCTAATTTAAATGTTCAACTAACTGCCAAGCAGGCTATCCTGCCAGATTCTAAACAATCCTTGCTTAGGAATTAACCATTTTTCTCAATACAAATTACACATGCAGTGTTATTAGTACTAACCTAAGTATTCCATCAACTGCTCAGCAGTTATGATTTCCATCATTGGTGGCAGTTTCACCTGTGAGAGAAGAGAATTTAAGCTCAATTGTTTTTCTACAGTACTTAAAAGACAATAAAAGTTTGTAAGAGTTAACTATCCAAATTTGCACTGTAGATGTACAAGAGCCACAGATATTTTTGTTACATGTAGAAATAAGCCTGCCTATCAACTATTGGAAACTATATTAAAAATCACCAAGAAGTACAAAGGTCAACTCCCCAAGTGAGAGAGACACATTTCTCTGCTGCTTCCAAATTCCTACATCTAGGAAAAGCTGCAGAAGATATTATTATTCTTTTGATGATTTCTCTTTCCATGGATTGTTTTTACTACCACAACTTAAGAGTTCTATATACTTCAGAAAAGCAGTATTAGTATTTAGTTGTCCTTGATATTGAAGCACCTCACAAGTTTAGGCTCCAAAATAAGTCCCTTGGTGTTTATGTTTCAGTCGACAGAGGTTACTCCTTTATATAGAACTATATAAGCATACTGCAAGTGGTCAGCAGCATTAGCACTGCATACCTGTTTTTTGTTGTGATTGCAAAGAAACATAAATGTCTCCTCAAATGCAGAAGCTACCGAAATCATTATGATGTGCAACTTTCAACAATTTATATAAAGTCTGCATCAACACCTGGTACACAATCGAGACCCAAAGAGCCTTACCAGACTGGAATAGAGTGTGTGGCTAGGTCACTGTGGAAGTGAAATTACGGCAACATATGCATAGGACTGTCTTTCAGGAAGACTTGAATTTCATTGGGTCTCTTGGTGGAAACAAATCCCAGCATCACTTAAGATTCTGAATGCTGGGCTACAGATGAAATATCTGAGCTGCTGAACTGCTATGTTTCTCAGAGCTGTTAATGTATGTTTGAACTACTGTTCAAAGCTACATTAACAACACTGAGAAAAATAGCGAGGACACAGATTGCAAATGGAATGTTTCAGGCAGCAGTAAGGTTAAAGAAGATGCATTAGTTGACAAAGTAATTCTCTCTTCCATGGAAACTTTCAAAATAGAGAAGTTAATGTTCAACATAAAAGGATGCCATATGTACACATTCCTTTACTGTATATGGAGACCATAATTATTTCCATTTCTGTAAGATGCTGCACGCATTTCCAGAATGAGATTTGTTTGGCAAATAACTTGGTTTCCAAGATGGAACATATCACATTTTATATCACATTGTTTGTAACAATGTTGTTTGGTGCTGTCTGAGAAACAAGCTTGATTTAGGTTTCCAGCACCTTGCAAATAGATATACAGAGCTGAAAGGAATTTGCACACCCTTGCCCCATGCACTGGCCAGGGGACTAAAAGTCAGTAGGTTCCGTGGGTTTAGTATGTGTTTTCCTACTATACCACACCTGCAACGTTTTGTGCAACACTACCCCCCTAACTCGGCAGGTAACAAATGCATTATTCTTGAAAACAATATCCCAACAGGAAGCCAATGTTCAATAGTTCAAGTTTTACTTAACGAGAAAGTGTAGATGCAAAGAAACTATTTGTGTGAGGCTTGTAACAGCACAAAAATGAAATTTCTCCCTGTTGGAATTCTACTGCCAAATCCCCAGCAAAACATGTGATTTTTACCACTAGGATAATAAACCCTTTTCAGACCAACCCAAGTTAATCTAACAGTAGTTGATCAAATTGGAGATAACATGAAAATATCCTCCCCAAATGAAGAGCTTATCATTTGCTCCCAGTTTACCACTCCTTTCAGGATCTTTGGCTAAAGGCAATCACAGCCCTTCTCAAAACTAGCTTCTCTCTTGTCCCCAAAATAGTCATACTAGATTACTTTATTTTGAGAACACTTTGTAAGCTACTTGTAAAGCCTCTTGGGACTAAAAAGCAGAATATAAAATAAATGTTAGCTTCCTTCTGTACCTAGTCAGCCACCTAGCAAGAATAATACTGTTAGTGTATTCTAACTGGCTGTCAGTGTCTTGGGTATTAAGGAAACAGACAAAATTCTTTTAATGGGAGGTCAACCTGGAACCTTCTGTAATCACAGCATGGAATCAAAAGCTGAGTTATGGCTTCTAAAACAGAAGGAGAGGTAAGAAAACAGTAATGGTGTCATTTCACACCTCCTAGCACCAGATTTAGGGTGGTACAGGTGGTTCCCCGCAACAGAGCACCAAGCAAAGGGAACACAAAAATGAGGAAATCCATAATTGAGAAGATCCATTTGGGGTGCCAAATGTTGGCCTTGCACAGGGTGCCACATTATGAAAGATTACCAAGGTCCATCCCTGCGCCTCCACAGACCTTAGAGAAGAGGAGGAGTTTGGATTTGATATCCCGCTTTATCACTACCACTATCACAAAGCAGCTAACAATCTCCTTTTCCCTTCCTCCCCCACAGCAAACACTCTGTGAGGCGAGTGAGGCTAAGAGATTTCAGAGAAGTGTGACTGGCCCAAGGTCACCCAGCAGCTGCATGTGGAGGAGCGGGGACATGAACCCGGTCCACCGTTCTTAACCACTACACCACGCTGGCTCTCTCATTGCTTGCCTCAGCCTGTTGGACCACTACCTGCTATTAGCTCCTCCAAGTGGCAGCAACATTCGGAGTCATCATGTGAGGGGCTGGTTGGCTACAATTATGTTGCAGAACACATACATACATGCTCTTCTGCTTTTAGCTACAGGGGCATAGTTTATAGATCTCTGTCAGATGAAATTGCCCAGGACTATAGATGGACGATGGGTCTGACTGTGCCTAAGGCTACTTGCTTCATATGTTCTTTGTATGGCTTTTTGTCAGTCAGGACTCACAGAAACTCAGTTCCGGCACCTCAGAAACTCAGGCATCTCTCAGGTGGGCACCACTGCTATTATTAGAGAAGAAGGGAGGTGTTCATGGTGAGTTGCAGCACCTCTTTTTCTAGAAAAATAGAACTGGTTCTTTTCGACATACTATATGGGGGGAAACCTCACCTCAACAGCAAATACAGCTTTGCAAACAAAAGGTCCCACTTTCAGCTTCCTACACCACAGGTTAAAAAGGGTCAGATAGTGGGAATAAACTTTCTCCCATGTCTGAGAGGCTGGAGCAGGCATAGGCAAACTCCGGCCCTCCAGATGTTTGGGACTACAATTCCCATCATCCCTAGCTAACAGGACCAGTGGTCGGAGATGATGGGAATTGTAGTCCCAAACATCTGGAGGGTCAGAGTTTGACTATGCCTGGGCTGGAGGGTAGCTACCAGTCACAGCAAACAATACTGGGCTAGATGGAATAGAATGCATTCACATGCAATGCTATGGGCTTAGGATGAATGTGTGGGCTCCCATGGAGGAGATCACAGCTGCCTTGCTCCCCCTCCCAGCCTTCAGCTCAGTGAGGTGCATGTCACACCTAAACTAATGTTTGGCTTAACACATTGTCCAAACCCAGACTCTTGATACAACTTTGAGGTTAAGAAGAGAGCTTAACTGTGAGCCTGGGTTTAGATGACATGACAAGCCAAACCTTGGCTTAGCAGCACACTGCACTAAACTAAGAGAACCAGGGAGAAGCAAACTGGGTCTGAGCTCCTTTCTGACAGCACACTTGTGCAGGCTCAATAAACCATAGCTTGGTTAACCATGTGCAAACTAGATCCTATTTAGTATGAGACTGAACCTGGGACTCTCTACCTTCCCAAGACGAACTGCGGAGCTGTAGAAAACTTCCAAAGGAGAGGCACCCTGCCAGGGCTTGCAGCTTGAGGTAAAGGGAAAGACCCCTGCTATGTACAGAAACGACTAGCAAGAGTGAAGTAAGTTGCACCTTACTTCAATTCTGGCAATGAGGCAGTGTCATTCCAGGAGCTGCATCACAGGGTAGGTCCCAGGTTGTGCCTCCAACCTCACAGCATCAGCCTCCTAAAGTAGCTATCTCACCTGCATTCTGCCCATACCCAGAGGGAAATTCACCTAGGCAGTTGTGCCAACTCCAGGAGGCCCACTCAGTATCTGTGGGCAGGGTGCCCTGCTCTTGAATGTTAAGGGGGCATTTGCACTAACCCGTCTCTTTGATTGCTGACAATCTCAAAGGAACATGCCAAAGTGATGTCACGCATGTGCAACCCGCACCCCCCAAATAATGTTGGGTACAACTGCACCTCTGCACCTAGGGTGATCAGTTCCTGGGCATGGCAGACAAGGGAAGACATCCACACATGTAACAGAGGAAGCAGCCTTACAAGAGGGATCACACTCATCCTCTTGCCCAAAAGATCTCCAGGATGCCACTGCGAAAGTGCTTCCCAGCCCTACCTGGAGGTACCTGGGATTGAACCCACGATCTTATTGAATGCAAAATGCAGGGGCCCTTCCCCTGAAAGGATAAGGAAAGACGACAGCCCTCCTGGCCAGTTTATCTAGGAAGCTGCCTGTCCCTCGGGAGCTGGCCTGGTCCTTCTCCCCCAGCCCCGCCACGCACCTTCCAGGCCAGGAGCAGGACGTTCATGATGGCCAGGAGCGGGCAGGGCCCGTTCTCGTTCTGGGTGATAATGGGCGTGTTCTCCTCCTTCCAGCGCACCCACTTGATGTGGTAGACCGACTGACCCGGGAAGCGCTCCTTGGCGCCCGGCGGGAGGAGCAGGAGCGGCGATGGCGAGGCGGAGGAGGACGACGAAGAGGCGGCGGCGGCGGTTGCTGCCGCAGCCCCCTTGCCAGGGCTGACTCCATCCTCGTCGTCTTCTCCGCCGGCGACAGGGGCTCTCCTGGGCGCCGCCGCCGCCGCTGCCTCCTCGGAGTCGTCGTCGTCGTCGTCCTCGCCGCCGCCGTTGAGGTCGGAGATGCTGGCCCCGTCGCAGGACGGCAGGTTGGAGAAGGAGCCGAGCGAGTCGGCCAGGCTCGCCGACTCCTCGCCGCCCGCCGGGCTCAGCGAGACCCCGCTGCTGCTGCCGCTGCCTGGGGACGGAGCCGCGGTCGCCTCGGCCCGGGAGGGGCTTTCGGGCGTCGTCGCATCTCGGGCGGCCACCGGCCGCGGCTCTTCCAGGCGGGAAGCGAGGGACGCGGCCGCCTCTGAGAGGACCGTCGAAGAGCTTCCCGCCCCTCGCCGCTTCTCCTCCTCCCGCGTCTCCTCAGATGCCGCCGCCGCCGCCTCGTCAGGCTCTGAGGCGATTCCCGCCTCTTCCTGAGGGGAGACGCGACTCGCCTCAGGGGCGCCGCCGCCGCCGCCCCGCTCGAGCGCGCCCAGGGGGGCGGGAGGAAGCAGAGCTGGCGGGGGCGGAAGCTCTGCCAGGCCCTCCATTGCCCTCGGCGGGCAGCTCCCCCTCCCCCGGTCAGCGAGGCCTTTCCGCTACAGGCGGCGGCAGCATGAGCAGCGCCGCCGCCGCCGCCGCCGCGATCGAGACGGCTGCTTCTGGCCCAAGCGGCCTTCGGACGCCATGACAGGCAGAGGCCACGCCCCGTCCCCGCCCTGCCCGGGGGAGGGGCTGGCTGCGGGGCGCATGCGCGTGACGCGGGCGAAAAAGGGCGCGGTTTGGTGGGGAGTCCTCTGTCAAGGGGGCTGATTGTCCAACACAGGGGGACCGTTTGGGGGGGACAGACAGACACCCCCACATAGACCCCCACACAAGGCCGCAGCTTCCGCCCCCTCTGTTAGAGTTGCTGTAAGTGAGTTCCCTGATCAGGACCTTGTGCGGAGCAGAATAGAAATGAATTTGCTCTCCGCCTCAATAATGTGTGTCAAAGCTTTACTGGAAACAGTCTTAAGGTAGTTACAAATAAAAGTTACAAAACACAGAGCAACGCATTGGTTTTTAAACAAACTAGCGATGCTATCCAAGTCTTCTTTGTAATCCTTAATGCAGTCTGAAATTAAAAATTGAAGGTCTTATATACATAATAAATGTTCCAACCAAACACATACATAAATATATAAACCACATGTCTGAAGCAGCACAGGAAAAGAGCCCTGAAATCATTTTGACTCCCAAGTTGACCAAGTGTTTCTCTGCAAGGAGGGAGGGGGTGAGGGAACCTTCCCATTGTCTCAGGAATTAAGAAATCACCATCTCAAAGGAATGGCCAGACTACCAGGAAAGGCAATCAGATAAGGCAAAACAACAGCATTCAAATTTCTGTTGTAGACCACCTTTTCTGTGATGTAGGTATGATGTTTGTGGGGGTGGTCTTGGGTTACACCCTTTGTGTGATGTATGTATGATGTATGGAGGGGTGGTCTTGAGCTCCAGGGCAGGGAATTTAAAATGTCTATATAAGGGCAGGCACACCTTGGTTCTGGGTCCTCCTCCTTCTGCGTGTGAAGGGGGCACCCTGTTGCAACAGTTCAATAAAGAACAGGCTTACTAGCTGCTTTGCTTCTCAATATTCTCTGGTTGGCCTCTGTTATTTTCTCAGACTGATGGAAAACCTACAAAGGACTCCATAAGGGCTGTTGTGTCCCCCATAAGGGAACAAGGGCAGATTTTTGTTTATTACAAGTTCAAAAAGCTTTCCTCTCTCTGGTCCCAGATCCTAGGTAACTTGCTTGTTAAAACGGTTACGGTAATTTCTACTCCTGCTGTTGGCTCCATCCACTGTTTGAGACGTTTGTGTTCTTAGGGTCCATCTTCCTTCTGTGAGAGATCTCTGCTAGACTTTCTAGTACAGTGGTACCTCGGGTTAAGTACTTAATTCGTTCCAGAGGTCCGTTCTTAACCTGAAACTGTTCTTAACCTGAAGCAGCACTTTAGCTAATGGGGCCTCCTGCTGCCGCCACACCACCGGAACATGATTTCTGTTCTCATCCTGAAGCAAAGTTCTTAACCCGAGGTAATATTTCTGGGTTAGCGGAGTCTGTAACCTGAAGCGTCTGTAACCCGAGGTACCCCTGTACAGTAATGAGTCATCAATTAGCATAAATCCTCAAATGGAAACATCTGCTGCATTAGCTAGAGACAAGCATGCCTAATGCAAAGTTCTCTTTGCAAAATATTTTAATAGAATCATAGTTGGGACCATGGGGATTGGGGGGGGGTCATCTGGTCCAACCCCCTGCAATGCAGGAATCTTTTCTCCCATTCGGGGTTTGGAACCAAGACCCTGAAGTTAAGAGTCTGATGCAAACACAATACATACAAGCATAGCATTCTATGCACAATAAATTTATACACCCTATGCCTGCCCCACATTATAACTGCTTCCTCCCATTCTGCTATCTCCATCCGCACTGTACTGCATACAGAGGACCATGACATCTATCTGCACTGGATGTATCCAGGGCTTTTTTCAGCCAGAACTTAGTTCCCGCTACTCTAAGGTGGATGCCATTGTCATTATAAGAGAACAAGGGAGGAGTTCATGGTGAATTCTGGCACCTCTTTTTCTAGACAAAAATCAATGGGTGTAACAATACCTCTTGGGAAAGCCTGGTGGCATCTCACAGAGAAAGCTTGCCATGTCCAAGGCGAGCCAAGTTATTTTGGCACTTGAGGCAGATTCCCAAAGGTGCCTCTTCCTGGGAGAAAATATACACAAATAACTGAAATAGGACAATTTCCAGCCTTTCAGTGACACCGAAAGCTAGGTGCTGTAGACAGCCCCCTCACTCACGCCCATATCAAATCTCTGAAAGAGTATGGGCCAGTGTACCAGTCTAGACCTGGGAGACCCAGGTTCAAATTCCCACTTGGCCCTGAAACCCTTCACTCCCAGCCTAACCTTCCTCACAGTATTGTCCTGAGGATGAAAAGGGAAGGTGGAATATAAATGAAATACATACATAAAACCTTGAGTAGGATTCCTCTCAGGAAGGGAGAATCCGAATATCATCCCTGGATAAAGACCTTTCTTTTCCTTCCCCTCCTCTCTCATTGTCCCCACTCATGGTAAAACTGTTGATGTAAGCTCCTTGGGGCAGGGACTTCTGCTTGGATTAATCTGCACCAAGACCTAAAAGGAAGTGGTCAATTCTGAAGTGCAGGTGTTTGCATAACAGCCATCATAGCCACAAGCCTTCAAAGTGTCAGCTTGGCTTTTCTCCCCCCTCTGCTTAGCTTATTTTGTGGATTTCTCTGTTGGGGAATGAAACTTTATATTTTACATGCAGAATATTTGCAAAAAGTGCCTCAGGAGATGACAGGCATGCCCCTCTAGTGAAACAAAAGGCAGAGCTTCCTGCCCCGCCCCACAACACCTCTTTGTAAAAGAATAAATATACTCATCACAGAGGGCTACATGAGACAAACCACAGCTGCATGGCACTATGGGACAGCAAAGCCAGAAACTGCCTTTTGTTTTCAACTTCATCTGTGTTCTCTGGAAACAGCTGTTTCCTGTGTGCAGTCAAAAAGGACACAATTGTGGAGAGGAGGCCTTCTGTGTCAACAATACAGTGCTTCTCACATCACTCGGTTCAAAATAAAGCCTTTTAAGCAGTGTAACTTGCTTTCAATAACACCCATTAGTTATCCCCCCCAAAGTGTCAATCATATTCCAACAAACATGCATACACATAGCAAAGCATTTCAAACTTTCTAAAATGTTATGCAGCCCTTGAGTGAACTCCAAAGTCACATACACCATTGGTTTGATCTGTTGTCCATCCAGCACAGATAGCAACTGAATAAAACCCATGCAGCTGCAACAGATCAAAGGCCCATCAAGCCAAATATCCTGTTTCTACCAGCGGCCAACCAATATCTAGCTCTGCCATTCAGACTCTTAGACAGGAGACACCTGTACATTCTTGCTAGTGTAGCACCCTGCTTGTGGTTAACGCTTAGCTGGAATGAAATATTCAACGCAGCAATAGAGAAATTAAAATAATAATTTATTTGTCAGACAAATAAATGAGAGGCACAGTGGTATATGGTTACCAAGCTCTGGCCTGGCCTCCTGCCATTATGGCCAGCACTTATATTCCCTTAATCCAGCCCCCTTTGCTCCTCCTGTGGCTGCCTCTGTCCAATCAGCCTGGTTGAAATTCCTATTGGCTGATTGGTATGACCAATCACAAAAAGATACACCCATATCCTCCTGTCCTTATATGGAACACAAAGAGCTATATATTGTTACATCTATAAATGACAAATAAGTAGTAATATATCTTACATGTGTCTCAACAAGGAATCTTAATTACCAGCTCACCTCTTGCCCTCCTTGCCCTATTGCCTTCTAAAACAAATGGTTAATCTTAAATTTTTATCTTAAACATATGTCAAGGATCTTGAGTTTCACATCAACATTGAAAGATCTCCTTCATTTGAAGGTTTCTAAACAAATGTCTGACAACTATATATCAGGACTGCTTGGATGGCGTCTCCCGTCCGGCAGGGGGGCTAGGCTGGTGGCTGACTTAATTTCAGGATAAATACAACTCTTACAACTATATGAAATAAGAATCTAGCATTTCTTAAATCCTTTGCATAATTACATCTATGCCAATACACTTAATACACAACACAGGTAGCCTCTTAAAAGGAATAAGGCCTTTGTAAAGTAGAAAAAGGAACTCAGTAAAAAACCGCTTCAAAAGAAGCCTCTTCAGTCTACACCCCCCCCCCCTCAGCCAGCTGCTTTTCCCATTTGCTTTTCCCAACATTTATTGCCCTTCAACTCTCTCAGTTTAAGAAAGAAACAGCTTTTAAAAAAGACTTCCCAAAAATGCTCTCTTTCTGCCAGCTAGATGCTTCTCCATTGCTCTTGGCCTTTTTAACCTTAGAAAGAAGATCTGGCTCATTTTACTGGGAGGCACATTGGTATTATTTTACTATTTACTCATTCCTAATTATGTTTATCTCTGCCTTTTTTATCTTCTGTAACATGTAGGGTCAGTGTCCTCACTCTCAGTCTGTAATTCCAGCTTTTACGACTTTGAGAATTGTTTTCTGCTATAAATCAAGGGGCCCCTTGTCTAGGAGGAAAACATTGCCTAAGGTTCTCTAAGCAGCTGGCATGAAACATTTGAAAATCTAAGCCCATTTAATTTAGGAACCTGATCAAGATATAAGCCAATATAAGTCTTGATAAAAAATGCAGTCTATATTCAGATGCCACACTAGTGCCAGAGGAACCTAACTCATATATTACAAATATTTTCATACCACAGTGTTCTAAGACACTTTTATGGTTGTATTTATATTCCACCTTTCCTCTAAGGAGGTCAGGTGGTTGCCCGATTTTCCTTGCTCCCCTTTTTATACAGTGGCACCTCGGGTTAAGTCCTTAATTTGTTCCGGAGGTCCATTCTTAACCTGAAACTGTACTTAACCTGAAGCACCACTTTAGCTGATGGGGCCTCCTGCTGCCGCTGCGCCACCGCTGCACAAACTCTGTTCTCATCCTGAAGCAAAGTTCTTAACCCGAGGTACTATTTCTGGGTTAGCGGAGTCTGTAACCTGAAGCGTATGTAACCCGAGGGACCACTGTACTTGCAACAACTGCATGAGGTAGGCTAGGCTAGGCTGAATGAG